GTACGTACGTAACGTACGTAACCGTAACGTAAAGTTTAAACGTTAAAGGTTAAGTAACGTTAATTAACCTAACTAACGTACGTACGTAGTAAGTAATAATAATAATATATATATATATATATATATATATATATATATATATATATATATATATATGGCATATATATATGGCACACAGAGCACAGAGAAATATCTGACAGGAAATGGTCCAAAATCAAACCTGGGCTATATGATTTTGCATGAGCACCTCTAAAGCGGGAGGGAGAGGCGATAATCTAATGCTTATGGAGTGAGCCCTCTGTGTCCAACCCTTGATATCTGTTATCTCTTTCATTTCCCATAACAGCTCAGGGAGAGAGGTACTGCTGTCATTTTAGAGAAGAGAAAACCAAGGCGGATGTGGTCCAGTTGGGCAAATGCCCAAAAACAAAACTACAAAATAATAGAAACTTCAGAAGTCTTTCTGGTTCCAAAGTCCACTCTGTTTCTCTATCTTTTCAGACCCAATGCTATCTCTTTACACAGACACAGAATCTGTCTCTTTATATAAAGCCAATTTATGTTCCATGAAGAATCTCTCTGTCTGACTTGATGCAAATGTTTGTTCCATGCTATCAATTCAGATGCGTCTCTTTAACGGGAAGCTCACCATGTAAATTAGCTCGCCAGCCAATGTTAAAAGTACAGTGGAATAAGACAAAAATACGAGGCTAGAATGAAGATCAGCATTAGGAAGAGAACTGAACACTAAAAAATGACATTTACGAAAGAACACTGGAGCACTGTCAGGACTTTGATGAGGTGGTATGGAACTCTTTCATTCTATTTATTTATTTTTTTAATAATACCACTCACAAAATATCTTGGGTTACTCATAAATTTCCATTGCCTTTATGTAAGTCTTCTTTTTAAAAAAAATTTTTAAAGTTATTTCCTTATTTTAATGGAGGTACTGAGGATTGAACCCTGGACCTCATGCTTGCTAAACACGTACTCTACCGCTGAGCTATTACGCTCCCTCCTCTAACTGTTCTGGTACGACATCCTCCGGTCACCCCACGTGCACATAATGCCAAGTTACAGTGCTTCTCTGTTGTGCCCAGCCCAGCCTCCCCAGTGACAGAGACACAAGCACACGCCTGGGGATCTAGTGCCGTCTCTGGATTGGCTGGTTTTTGCTGTAATCGCACAATTTCTAAGAAATATTATGTTTTACCTTTAAAGATCTTACAAAATGTATCTTCTTCTCCCTCATCTGACTTTGTTATAGAATAAAGAGAGTCTTTTCAATTACTTGTTATGGACCAAAATTCATGCTCCAAGAAGAATTAATGTCATGTTAATTCTGAGGCTTTGCAAACGCTGTACAAACTGCTCTTACTCTAGACAGAGAAACACGGTAATAAAATGGTATAATCGCATGACATGCAAAGTGCTGATGTGAAATGAAAAGGACAGAAATATGATTGGGATATTAACTCAAGAGAAATAAGGAAATAAGACTATTTGAAAAGGCTTAGCAGGATGGTTTTGTTCTTCCTGAAAATAAGTATGATGTCATCTCACCTTACCTTGACCTCCAGCCCAACTTCCCCGCTCAAGCACAATCAGATGTTTAGCTTCTGTACACATGTGCACACGCACACACATGCGCACATGCGTGCACGTGCACACACACACACACACAGAGGGTTACACAATACCCAACAGACAGACATAGAGGGAAACATTCAGTGAAACTTCTCCGAACTATCAGATAAAGGCAGCATGTCAAGATAGCAATAAAACCATACATTTCTATGGTAATGGAACACAAATTAGTAAAATGGGGAAGCAGAACCTACAAAACAGCTTGAAACTCAATCCCAGATTTCACTATGGGTCCTAGACTCCGATGGACACAAGCTAATTTTCATGGTTGATCCATGGTAATAGTCATCGGGAAGTTAAACGACAGAAGAGAAACTGCTTTAGATGGAAAATGGCACCATTATTCACAGCTGTCATGTTTCTGCACTTGCTGACTATCAACAGAGCGTTTAATCCAAACCCCATTTAAAGGTATACACTGTCGAGGGAGAGGCCAAGAACCATATTCTGGTTCAGGAAGCAACCCATAACCTATGTGCCAAAGATGACACCGAAGATCAAGTCTATTGGAACATAGACGGATGACTTACAACCCAACGTAGGAGAGGCTCCTGCAGAAAAGCAAGGAAATGCCAAAAGCCTTGGCATCTGACTGTTCAAAGATGCTCAATTCCTGCTCTCATTATGCACACTATTTTGGGGGGAAATATTCTGCCCGTTCAGAACTGCAATTGAATTCATGCTCTCTCGGTCAGGACAGATTTTGCCTTTTAAACAATCTTTTAAACTTCTGTAATGCTATGTATCTGTGATGTATCTGTGATATATTTGTTAATACTAAGATCCTGTTGCTGTTTTAAAAGCATTGCATAAAAATAAGTACTGCATGTAAAATATATGTAATACATGATATTTCATATAATGTATTCAATAATATCTAAAAACCCACTGAAGAAAAATGGAGTGTACTTACAGAGATAGAAATGCTGTAGATACAGAAATCTATCTACCTATTTTTTTTCTTAATGGAAGGAGAGAGTTCTAGTAAAGATTCAAAGCCAAAGTCACAACGTAGGAGCGAAGTGAAAGCTTACCTTGAACCTGAATTAATTTCATATACTCATATTAAAAGGAAGTAAAGAGTCCTTATTTAGGGGTATTAAGTTGAAGGAAATACTCATCAGGTTAAATGAAAATCTTCATGCAGACTGGGACACAGTTCTGTACACCAGAAATTGACACATTGTGACTGGCTGTATTTCAGTTTAAAAAATTAATAATGAAAAACTAGTGAATTGTACACGTAAAGAAAAAAAAATCTTCATGCAACCAGATGTTACAAAGATCAGGGTTAGTGACATTATAACATGCTAACACTGGTTTTGTATCTGATCTAAGTTATCAAAATAAAGTAACATTTGGCATCACCATATATTATCTGACTAACCTTACAATTAGCATATGCAGATATCTGGTAATGGCAAATATTTTTTATACATTCAATGTATATTTATCGAACAATCCCTGTGTGCCAAGCACTGTTCTAGATATTAGACATATAAGAATGAATAAGACAAGCATGGCTCCTGCAAATGCATAATCAGGCTTCCTTTTATAACCCAGTTCTTCTAACACTGATATTGTGTTATGCAAATCAAGGTTTTGTTTGACCTTCAAAATATTTGGTGTGATTTGCTTATTATTTTACTGTTAATTATGGAACTAAATGAATTTTTAACTATGAGTTTCAGATGTGCTTTTTTGCTTTGTAGATACTATTCAAGCGAATAAAGCTCTATGAATTGTGCAATGATAAAATATTCACAGAAACTTACAACTCTGCAGTTGAATAACAATTACATTTGTTCCAAACAGGCAATTGGTTTCCAAACACATTAAACAAAGGCAATTTAGAAAGCTTCTTCTTCTTCTTGGCATCATTAACGTTGTTGAACGTCCTGGGATTCTGGAGTGTTTCACAAAGGTAAGTAAGTGTGTGGTAAGATGAACAATTTCGGAGTCCATGAAATATTGATCTGGGAGCCATCACTGAGCCAACGGGAATCCTGTATTCCATGACTGGACAAATTAGCATATTAGAAAAATTTAACAGATATTCAGAGCAAGAAATTTCAGTTTAGACTTCACTTTTTCCATCACTCCTTATAATAAAATTGTGCTTTGCTCAATTCTGAGACAAGATTTTTTCCTCTACCATATAGGGCCACTTTAGAATTAGAAATAACTATATTGATAATAAGAATGAATGTCATTATTATTAAAAGCAAATATCATTAAACAAATAGCTAGAAATCTAATGATGCTTAAGATTTGGATTCCATTCAGGACTGTAAATCAGCAATGACCATTTCAAGGTCAATAACAAACCGTGCAAAATCATTTAGCCAGTCACCTGAGACCATTCAGTGTCTTAATAGGTATCATCTTCCATCCATCCATCACCAGCCCATGTCTCCTTCTTACTGAGGTCTTCTTGGACGGCTGAGAGCTTTCTGAGCAAATTGTTTAACCTCTCTGAGCCTCTGTTTTCACACATGTGAAATAAAGACAGTAATTCCAACCTTTAGTGGGCTTTAGGGAGATGAATGTTGATAAAGGACCAAGCACAATGTCTGCCACGTAGCAGGAATTAAGAGATCTTTCTTTTCCTCACTTCCTTCCGTTCATTTATCTGTTTAGTCATTTAGTATCTCCTCCATTGCCACTTATCCCTTGCTTGAATCATTCTTTTATGCATCTAATAAATCTCTTTTGGAACATCAGTCAGGCAATGTAGTAAGTCAGAGGGACACAGAGTCCAGTATCAGTAAATGTTTAGTGCCACTTCAGCCCCTGCTATCATGGGGCTAACAGTCCAGGAGAAGAGAGGCATTTAAACCCCATGCAAGACAGAATTAATGACAGAATCATGAGTCTTCATGGCTCCCTGAATTTTAACATTTCTTACCTTCCAAAATATACATTATCAAAGTGACCCTCCATGATGCATAATTTCCCTAAGATGCCCATCTCATCCTGAGATGGAAAACCAAATCAGAAAATGAGATTGTTGCAGGAGGATTCGACAGGAACGTCCTCAGTAGCAAAACAGAGATGGTAGCGACAACTGAAATTAAAGGCCAGGCCTGTCTCCCCTCTGTCCATTGCCTCCAAACACTCCTCAATTTCACTCCTTCCCCCACTGTAAGATCTGATTCTGTCTTTCACGAAGTGAAAAGGGGCGGCCCAGAAGAATCCAGTTCCCCGACTTAACTGCAGAAACTTCAGCAAGCTGTTTAACTTTGCTAAGCCTCAGTTTCTTCTTCTTTGTAAAAAAGAAACAATAAGAATAGTTACTGTGCCATAAGTTGTTGTGAGGATGAGTAAATGCTCAAAAATGGGAGCAAGATTAATAATAATGGCCTCAGATTTTGCCTTACACTCCCTTCTTCCTCCGTTGCATTCCTCCCCTAGAATCATGCTGAGACACGGCCAAGATGACCATGATTATGGGCTGAATCCAGGTAGAACTAGCACTGGAACTAGAATATCTTAGCTCCAGGACTTATTTACCCATTTGTCCAATCATTCAGCCAACAGGCTAAGCATTGTTCCAGGCACTCGAAAAAAAAAATGATTTAAAGAAAGAAAAGTCTTTCACAGTCTACATGGAGCTAGCATATAGCACTCAAAATTTTTAAGTGTGATTCCTTTTCGGCGATCTTTCCCACTGGGATGGGACAGGACAAGCCAGAAGAGTTAGGCAAGAAACTGTGTGAAACTCCAGGCAGTAAGATCAGGGTCACTGCAGAGAGAAGTGAGTGATTCTCCTTTATTTCTATACTGATTGTTTTCATCAAACACTAATGAGCAATAAGGATGCAAAGAAACAGAAGAAAACACAGATGTCCCAGGGACAGTATGATCGAAACATATTATTTATGAGTCAGATAGTGTTTGATCTCAATACACTTCCAATCACAACCCAATTTTTACCAAATTCAAAGGTGTATCTGTTCAGAGCCAGATAATAGTGACAAATCGATCAAGAACAGAGCAGTCCCAAGTTATTCTTGTCCCCAGGATTGAGCCCAGTGGATTAATGATGACACAGCATCCTTACTAATGTACAGGTGGAATTAGATCTGTGTTAGCACCTGAGGGCACCCCACCATCAAGTCTGTACAATCCTATCCAACGTGATACAATTCTGGTACAAGTCCTAGAACCAAACGGAGCTTGTCTGGGTCAGCGTGGTATCACTTAACTGAGTATAGTTAGGAATATTCCACAAATGTCAGGCCAGACATACCTTCCCTTTCTATTAAAAAAACCAAAAACCAGCCCCCTGTCTCTGTCTATATTAAAGTCCTCCTCAATCAAATCGAAACTGGGCCAATTGCAGAATGACACACAGGAGGCTCTCCAGGATAGGAGTGCAGGTGGGTGGAATGTCTTTCTTTGCTGAAAACTATTACACAAAAATCTCTATGGTGCCTAATATAAATGTATATCCCACAGTGGATGCTAAAATAAAAGAATATTACAGATGTTTATGGGGGAGAGAGCAGAAAGCTATTTGCTATCAAACTTGACACCACCGTCCATCCAGCATCATAAAACACCTTATAAGGTTGATATCATTGCACTTATTTTGTTAATGAGACCAGTAATCTTCTGCGCAGAACCTGTAACAATTATTGAAAGAGACATAAATCAGAGAAAAATGACCAGTTATTCAAGTGTATCCTTTACTTAGTTAATTTTAGCAAGACATTGAAAAGGAAGAGAAAGTAAAATTAGCATTAGAAGCCTTCACAAATCAAAGAAAAAAAAATCTCTGATCTCAGAGACTTTGATAAAGTTGACTGTATGGCCCATATTCATTTGTTTATTCAACCAATATGTATGGGACATCTGCAGGGACCAGGCACTAGCCAAGGCACTAGGAATCCAGCCGTGAATAAAGCGGTCTGAAATTCCTCTTGGGGTGTCTTCAAAAACGTGTAAGAAATAATCTGGCTTTAGAGGCAGCACGGCCTAGAGGGAAAAGGCCCGGATTCAGAATAAGAGTTTTGCTCTGACATCCGGGTTCTGCCAACTCATACGGACCCTAAGCAAGTTATTTAACCTCTCACAACTTCAGTTTTTCTTCTGTGAAATGGGGATGATTTCACCCTTCCAGAGTTGCAGTGAGAATTTGGTAAGTTAGGCTCAGTCCTGTGCCCTCACATGGTGTCTGGAGCTTGGAAGACGGGAAAACCAGGTTTGTCTTAGGTCAGGGGTAGAGGGCACACATTATAGAACTATATTCATGGATTTCTTCTTCTACAGTGGTGTTTTCCATACAGTTTCATCACCAAATTTACAAATTCCCAGTGCATCTGATAAATCTTTTGAGTCCTGGCCGCCGTGGAATCTGTAACGTGGTTAAGTCCAGACTTTCCAGTTCCTGTCACTGTCAGACTCACCGCAGGCTGTAAAAGAGCGCCACCTAAAGGTCCTTACGAGACACCTTAATACGTCCTAAAACTCCTTTGGTCGTTTTATAAAAACTGCCCTGCTGAGCAGCGCTCTTAAATAATCATCATGGTTGTGCCAGTATCTATGGGGCTGTAATAAAAAGTAGACAAGCAGGGGGGGAAAGCAAATGATTTATCAAGTCATCTACATCTGGTCCTAAAAAAAAGCTTGCTTTCTTTCTTTTTTAGATATTGTAATCTAAATCATTTTAACGCCCAGAACATCAGTGGAAGTAATCTTGAAGAAACACTTCCCCTCCATGAAAAGTCTCTGAAATTTTATGGCAGTACACAGGAATTTTCTTCAAGTATTGATCTTTGGGAAACAGCCCTATGAAACTCCATTTGACTCAACCTGTCTTACGAGCAAAGTATGCACTGTTTTCTTCAGTTGGACACTACGCATTTTAGTTTAAGAGTTAGTATGTGTGGGAGTGGCCTGATGGGCATTATCTGTGCCCTTTACTTGCAAAGACTAATTATGTCTCCTCCAGTAAACTATTATGCTTTTGCATATGTTATGCAACTGAATTAATAAAGTAATTTCAAAGTCTAAGTGATCACTCCGTGACAACAAAAAATAACGTTTCCTATACATCACAATATTTTATAACTTTTTACAATGGTTCAGCCATTAAAAGCAACATATAAATGAATGTAAATACAAAACAGAAACAGACTCATAGACATAGAATACAAACTTGTTGTTGCCCAGGGGGC